TAAATTTTTTAATTTTTAAATATTGAAAATTTCAAATATTATACCAAATATTTAAAAGTTTCAAATTTTCAAAATTTTACATATTCAAATACTAATTATCTTAGGATGTATTAAATTTTAAAAATATTTTTATTAGTAATTTAGGGTCTCCGATTAATCCCCGATTAATCCCCGCCAAATCGATTAATCGCTTGACCCCAGTCAACCGCCGAGCAACCGTCGAGCGATTTTTACAACCATGATTCAAACGAACATTGACTTTGACCAAGGGGTTGACCTTGGGCCAAGGGAGGGTCAGTCTTTTGACCTAATGGTATTTATGGGTGTCTAACCTATGTTTATGGTTATAGCCGGAGGATTTTCGATCCAGCAGTTAGACGCTCTGCAAACACATTTCAGCAGCTACTTTCGAGGTGAGTTACCTTCCAGTAGCGGTGGGTCTAAGGCCACAATGCCAGCCCACCAGTAGGAGACGTATGATAGATGATTGTCTTTGTGATATCATCTAGGTTTGCTACTACCTGATATGTTATATGCTAGCATCATATGTTGTATGTGATAATAGTAGAGTTCGGATGTTAGGACTGAAGGGTAGTCAGACACCCTGGATACGTCTGACAGTATGTGATGATATGTTTGCATGCTGGATTGTTATGTTATATGCGATAGAGGTAGTAGGAGGGGACCAGTCCCCGAGTTCGGTTGTTAGGACTGCAGGGTAGTTCAGGCACCCCAGATATGTTTGATAATATGTTATGTTATGATATATATGATAGTAGCAGTAGGGGGGTGAAATAGTCCCCGAGGTTCGGTCGTCAGGACCGATGGGTAGTCAGAACCCCAGAATGGCTTGACATGGGTAGTCAGCACCCCAGAATGGCTTAACACGGGTAGGTCGGCACCCCAGAATGGCCGTACCGGGTAGGTCGGGCACCCCAGAAATGCCTGGCAATATATATGATATGTGATTGTATGGTATGCGGTATGATGGGGGAACTCACTAAGCTTCGTGCTTACAGTTTTCATTTTTGGTTTCAAGTACCTCTTCTGCGAAGGGGGAAGGAGCTCGCGCGGTAGCAGCACATCACACACACGCTCCGTATTCCACACTATGAGATCTTCCTGGGGAATTGTACTGTGTTTTTATTATGATTTTATAAACTGGTTTCCAGACACGCACATCATTTATGAAATGATATGATCAATGAATGTTTTATTCTAATGTTTTGCTAAGTATGTGTATTTAAAAACGAAATTTTTGGCTCGTATTTTTGGGGTGATTCAAGTTGGTATCAGAGCCCTGGTTTGAGGGATTCGGACACACCTTCGGGGGTGTTTGAACTCAAATCGAGGGATTAAAAGATTTTGGAAAGAGAAAATGTTTTCTAAAAGGCTAAGTAAAGAGTTTTAAGAAAGAACAAAGTGTGTGATGTGCGCGATTGACCGAGATCAAGTAAGTATTCCCCAATGTACCCATACAAGTTTATTTATGTTTATCAGTTTCTGTAGAACAGCATGCTAGAATAGGACTAAGGATCTAGGAGTGATGCATTATGTGCCTGCTTTATGTGCTTCAGTATATGAAAGAGTTGCATGCTAGAATTGAGTAGACAGCAGTAGGGTTGCCTGTTTAGGTTATTCTTGATAGTACGAGTTTAGCATTGTATGCTAGTTCAGTTTTTCTCTGCGAGGATAGAGTTGCTTGAGATTGTTTTCCTTATGTCCAAATGTTGTTTGCTTTGTGCTATGTGGGATTTGAGTGATGGGAGTTAGCTATTAGGTGGATACGTTAAAGTCACATGTGATCAGGGTTGAATAATCTCAGAGTGTTGGATTTGACCCTATTACGTAGCTCTTGTTTGAGTCCTAACCATTGTAGGGATGAGTCCCTTACTCGAAGGATTATCCGAGCCTCGTTGCATGTGATTGTATTCAGGTAATAGCTAATTGGCATCACAAGGAGGCTTTCAGCACCTGAGGACTGGATCGGGTATAGTCAGAGGACTCCCTAGGGCAAGCCTAGGATGGGAGTAGCAGACATTATTAGCAGTAATAGTGACTTGGTAGAGTCAAGGCAGTACTTGAGGAAAGTACGGATAGATGTGGAAGGTAGTATGGGCCTGTACTACTGGAAGCAGAGGATCCGTACTCAAATCAAGGAAGGCTGAGATGAGACCAGGAAATTTATGGTAGTAGTGATCCCTCGAAATATATCAGTGTTCCTGACAATTTTTTGTTGTGTTTCAGAATGGTGGTGTTGTGCCCTAGACCAGCAGTTGGCAGTTCAGGAGAGGGATCAGGTTTGGGATCAGGTTCCGAGCTGGTGGATGAGGGACTATGCAATTTCATCGCGTCAGAGATCACCAGGGGCATCCTTGAGTCGACTCCCATTATCTTCGGGTCGATCAAGGAAGGGGATAGTTGAGTTGATGGAGGATCGCCTTCGAGGTTTCAAGAGCGACATGGCATCTGGCCAGGCGGGATCCTGCACTATGTCCTTTAAGGACTTC